CCCCAAAACCCCAAAACCCCATGAGTATAGAATGCGTATTAAATAGTATAAAATAAAAAGTAAATATCCAATAAAAATGGAAAAATACGTTGCCTTCTAAGTAAAAGACCTTTGGGATAAATACCAATTTGATAAAAAAATTGATTCTGGAGCATTTGGTTCTGTTATAAAGGTTAAAAATACTGAGGATTAAAAATTATACGCTATGAAGATCTAAAACTTAAAGAATTTGATGACTCACACGGCAGATAACTACAGTAAAGAAATGTTGCGCATAATTCGTGAGATCAACACATTCAAACTAACTCATCAAAATATTACTAAATTCGTAGAATCCTACTTCACCTAAGATGATTAATTCGTAATAGTCACAGAACTTGCGGAGTCAAACCTTTGTACCTACCGAGAAAACAATGAACTGACCAATGCCTAGATTGCTGATATAATGATCCAGATAGTAAAAGGTACCATACATCTTCATGACCAAAATATTATGCACAGAGATCTAAGTCCAGATAACATCTTAGTTTTTGAAAATGGCAAGAAGTTTAAAATATGCGACTTTGGATTATCACAGATGCTGAACGAATCTTATACTGTTGTTGGAAAACAGAATTTCATAGCTCCTGAAATAGTGTTTGGCGAAGAATTTGGCTACAGCAATTAAGTTGACATCTGGTCACTCGGAATAATACTCTACTACTTATGCACTAAGTAATATCAATATTAAGGAAAAAATATTTCTGATTTGAAGAAGCAAGATAAAACAATCCGTATTCGTCTTTAAGGATAATAGAAGATATTCTAGCAGCTCCTAAACAAAATGCTAAAATTCGATTCTACAAAGAGATTAAATTCATTCTAAGTGCTTAGTGAGCTTTGTAAAATTAACAAAGAGCCACTTAACAAGCATTTAGAAATAGAGGAAGAAAAATAAAAAGAATGTCAGCAAAGTTATACTAATGATGATGGTTAAAATACATTCAATTTGACGTTTAAATAAGCTAAAACTGTTGTCAATGAAATTAATGCATAACTAGTAGAGTCCTGTTTTGGACCTATTGATAAGGCTCACTCATTTCAAATGCCAATTCTTTGGGATACAGATGGTAATAGATATCAAGGAAATCATGATAATAAGAAAAAATTGAAAGATGGAAGAGGGAGATTTAGATATAATTTCAATAATTTATCATTGAAGAATCATAAGAAAGTTGGATAGGAAAGATTTAACTTTGATAACGGATAGGAAAGATATAACCTTGATAACGGAGACTACTATATAGGTGAGTGGAAAGATGATAAATTTAATGGATATGGAAAATATTATTGGATAGATGGAACGATTTATGAAGGAGAATGGGTTAATTTCAAGCAAGAAGGATTAGGGTTGATTAAACAATTTAATGGTAATTAATATTATGGATCATGGGTGGATGGTTAGAAGTAAGGTGTAGGAGTATACACCTACAAGAATGGAGATATTGAACTAGGATAGTGGATGAATAATTAATAACACGGGATTCAATTCTATATTTTAAAAGATGGAGGATTAATATAAATAAGGAATTATGAGTATGATGATCTTAAAGAGACTCTGCTCGAGATTGTTAAACCTTAAAAGTAACTATAGCTATTTGAATCTGAAATATTTAATGAGTGATAAATATTCAGATTAGATATTAAATATATTTAATTATATTATGATGATTTAATTTCATTAAACTTAACAGATGGGGTTTTGGGGTTTTGGGG